CGCGCTGGGCGCATGCGGGCAGGATGTCACTGGCCCGCCGCGGGCGGGCCTGCCCCTGCCGGGGCTGGCGGCGACCTGGATTGCGCGCTTAATGGCGACGAACGGCTTTGTAGAGGCGGCCAGAGCCACGGCTTTGACGATCGTCTTCTACCCGAGGCCGTCCGAGACCTCCCCCCTGCAGGTGCGCTCGGTCATCCGCCCTGTCGCCTGTCGCCAGAGGCCCATCGGCACTTGAGGAAGTGCGCGGCGCTGCCGTACCCGGTCGAGCTCGAGGCCAGGTCGAAGACCAAGGACCGCCCCGAGCGCGCCCGAGTGGGTCGCGCGCTGGGTGGCCTGCCATGCTCCAGAGCCCCTGAACGCGCTGGGCGCGAAGGCATGGGCCTGGGCCTTCCAGCGCGCCAGCGAGGCCCTCAAGTTGGGCGTCCTGGGCCCGCCCGCTCTGCGCCTACTGCGGCGCGGGGGGGGGGGGGGGGCGCGTCGCGAGATGCTGGCCCAACCCCGCGAGTTCGGCAACATCAAAAAGCGGGGCCGCTGGGGGGCCGATCGAAGCCTCGCGCGGCATGCGAAAGATGGGCGAGCGGAAGAACAGCTTCAACGTCTACAGCCAGACCAGCAAGGTCAACGTTCAAACCCATGCAGAATATTCTGAGACATCCCATGCGGAACCTGAGCGCCTGGGCTGTTGCCACCGATTCGAAGGTGCACATCGATGCGTCTGTTCAGCGGCTCGGGCAACTGGTCGAGGGCCCTCCGTCGAGGGTAGGCCTCGAGGCTGGCGCCGCGGGTCTTCGAGCTGGACATCGAGCGTGGGCCAGACGCGGCGGGCCTGATCCCACGCCGCGCACAGCGCGTGGCGCGAGCTGGCTACGAAGTGGACTGCTACGGGGAGCGCGGCTGCGCATGCCGCGCAGCTCGTGGTCGCAAGCTCGGAACAGACCGAACGGGCCTCCAGCCATTCGCGACCGCAGCTACCTGCTCGGACTCGGCAACCTGGCGCCGCGCGAGGCCCTCCATTTCATGCCGGGGGATCTGGCTTGCCAAGTTCTCTTTCAGTTCCTTGGTGGCGCGCGCCCATCGCGGCGCGCCCCGCGCCGCCAAGAACCCGTCGCCGCCGTGGGTCTGGGAGGCCCGCTAGGCCCAGCATGCCAGTCGACAGCCTGGGTTCAGGATCTTGGATTCTGATTTCTGCGCGTCTCGTACCAGTCGGAGAAAGCGAAATTCGTTCGATGCGTGTGCATCTGAATCTAGACAGTCTTGGGGGGGTGCATGTGTTCTGGTTGACGGCCCTGCTCCTTTTCTCGCGCGCCTCGCCGAGCCGCGTGGGGGCAGGGCGCCATCCAGGCCCTTCTGGACAACAGTAGCTGAGCCCAACCCTCTCAAGCTGCGCAGCACGCTTGCGAAGGCGCGTCGGAACTCAAGATTGGCATGCGCCACGGCGGCCTGAAGGCCAGGGTCTGTGTGTGGAAATCTGCTTCGAGATCGCTGGGTTCTCTGGCCTCTGGATCCGCTCGATCCCGAGCCGCTTCGTGCACTGTGCGTCGCGGCTGGCCGATGCCCGCGGACAGACGCTGTCGGTTAAGAGGCTTGGGTCGTGGATGTGTTGCTTGCTTGTCTTTCCACATCCAGCATCGGGTTTGGCCGTTGATGCAATCGTTTATGTTGGTTTGGGGGCTCAACCTTGTCCGCCCGCCCTTGTTGAGCCCTGCAGAGGTGCTTTCCGTAGAGATCGCTTGATTTTCTGGCCTCTGGATCTTCTCGATCCCGAGCCGTTTTGTGCACTGTGCGTCAAGGCTGGCCACTGCTTGCGGACAAACGCTGTCGGTTGCGCGGCCAAACAGAACAACGGGCCTAAACCGTGGGATGGCGCGTGTGTGAGTGTGCGCGTGTGCGCGCGTGCTCGGGCGGGCTTAGACGCGCGCGCGCGCGAATCGCTGCTTTCCGACCTTCTACACCCTGTCGCCGCGCAGGGCCAAGACGCCAGAAGATTTGCGGAATGCGATCGTTGGAGAGGAGGCACGATAGTGCTCCTTATGTTTTGATACACAAAGCAGCCATGTCTGTTGAGTATATCAAACGTGTACAGGGTATCATGTTCGAATTCGATATTCATCTCGCATTCGACCAATACTTTGTCATTTCGAGTGCGCCTTGGAGGCGCGGAACTGTTCTGCGCGGCAAGATTGCGTCCGCTACTGCAAAGGAGAGGGGCGGCCGCCGCGCCGGGTTGCCGGCCGCATTCTTTTCAGCATGGGGGAGTCCTATGGGCGAGCCTTTTGGGCGCGCAGGGGGAAGGTTCCGTGGTCCGTGGCACACACCTTGCCAATGAATTTGGACAGCGCGAAACGGCGCAAAGTCGCCCGGGCCTGGCCGACCCCGCGCGAGGGGAAATGCGCCCCGGATTTCCTCTTGGATTGAATTCCCACAGGGGGGCCGCGCGCGGGGCCCCTGGGGGCGGCCCCTGCTGGGCGTCCTCTGCGTGGGCCACGTCTCCAGGGGAAAACCAAAACGGTCACTCAACGGGGGCGCGCCCGCCAGGGGGGCGCCGGGACAACCGCCTGGCGAGAGCGCGCCTGCGAGGGAGAGCCGCTGGACTGGCATCCCGGAAGGCGCGCCTAGGGCGCGCGCGTTGGCGATGGTCCCTGGCGCAAAGACATGTTAAGAAACATGTAGCAACAACATGTGTTTTTCATGTTTATTGTTTCTGCGCCACAGAAACAGTTCGCCAGGATGTTTGGGGGGGCGCCCCGCGGGTGACCTACAAATTGTACGAAGAGAACTGCGTGTGAGTTGTATTTCTAACGTTTGCCACTTGCTTCGGGCCTAACTCACTCAGGCACATGTTGTTCAATGCACGTTAACACAGGTTTAAAACATCTGGCATGTTTTTTGTTCAACGCTTTTCAAAAAAACTATAACACATGGAAAGCATCGGATATGTTGCTTACATGTTTCTCTTGGGGGGCGCCCGCCGAGAAGACGTCGAAACACATGCAAAACATAGAGTTCGCCCGGACATTGCTGGGGCCCCCCGCTCCTCGTGGGGCACCCTGCAGGTTCCCCCCCGCGGCCCCCGCCCCACTTGGACGCCCCCATTGGACTCCCCGTTGGGATTCCTCCAAAGGACTTCCCCATAAAACTCCCCTCCCCCGTCGCACTCTTCCATAAAACTCCCCCATAGGTCCCCCCCCCCACAGGATTCCCCACGGGCCCCCCCCATGGCACTCCCCCACAGGATTGCAGATGGCACTCCCCCATAGGACCCCCCCACGGGATTTGGACCCCCGAGGACTCCCTTTATGAAGCTCCCCCGACAGGACTCCCCCCCGTAAAACCCCCCCATCGGGCTCCCGCATAGGAGTTCCCCAAGAGGGGCGACCAACGCGCAGGGATCGCCGAACGAATTTGATGGCACATGTTTTAGCGCGTTTTACATCTCCAGGGTTGACGTCTGAAACACGATCAAAACATGGGAAGCATCAATAAATCAATGGTATGGCTTCGAGTGTCCACTATCACAGCATCCACAACAAAAGAGGTGCGTGTGTGTGTGTGCGTGCAGTGTGTGCGTGTCTGTGTGTGTGTCTGTGTGTCTGTGTGTCTGTGTGTCTGTGTGCGTCTGTGTATCGTGGTGACGCGTACAGTCCCTTCTGAGCCTAGGTGGTTGTTCATCTGTATGTTTTGCTTTCACTGGCATTCATGGTAGCTCTTCGCGGCTTTGGCTGCGTTGGGTTTGCTATTTTAACGCGGGCGTCTGCTGCAATTCACGCTGGCCATGCTCGCGCCTGTCCGCCACCCATGGCCATGCTCGTGCTTGTCCACCACCCATTTGCGCCGGCGCGTAAAACGGTTGCTGCTCACGGTCGCCCGCGTTCAGCCCCGTCTTATGTTGTCCAAGGCTAAGTCAGCCTCGACAGCGTGATCATGTTTGTTACGCCGACCTTCTGCATTATGTTGCACGGTCGCTTAGATGGCTCGTGTTTGTTGCAAGGCTTGTGGCGTCGCCTTGTCTCGCAGCTCCCCGCGTGTTTGCGCCGCCACCAGGTGGCTGGTCTGGCAGACCTACAGTTCTCTTTCGTCGCCTCTTGAGGCTGTAAATAGCACCAGATTGCTAGTTGCGTTTCCAACTTCCTGCGTCGAGCTCTCGCTCCGCGGGTTTTTTGGCCGCTGCATCTTGGCTTTGCACCGCCTTTCTTTTTCCACCACCAATCTGCACGGCCGTGGCTGGACTCTTTCATCATGGCGTGTTCGATTAAGTTCGTTCGCAATTGGCACCTCCACCTGCCGACTGCGCTTGGGCTCCTCTGTGCCGCCGAGTTAAAAAGTATTGTGTGTGTGTGTTTGTGACGTCGCCTTCCTCTGCGATCTCTGGGCGCGCGCAGACTATCTCATTCAACGCTTTCGCATTTTTAGTGGTGGGGGGCGATGAGTTGGTGAGGGTCGGTGGGGAACGCCATCTTTACCATGCTTGTTTTTTCCACACCGCGCGACTCCTTCATCCTCTTCCCGCCCCCGTTTCTTCCAAACGTTGCTGCTGCACCGCATGCTGCTGCACCGCATGCTGGTGCTGCACTGCCATCGTTGCTGCAGCCGTTGCTAGCCGCCGCGACTGCTGCTGCCCGCTCGTCCGGCGCACCCCGCCCCTCACACGGACAGTGCCCCCAAACGGAACTCGAACAGGGCCTTGGTGGGCGCGCCTTCAAGGTGCCGCCGCGCTCATTCCAGCGCGATCGGGGGGCGGGGGTTCGAGTACAGTGCATTCTCCCAGGTGCCCCAAAGTAGGCAGAAGAAAGAGGGAGCGCCCGAGCCTAATGACGTAAAGGGGTCCTGAGGGAAACGGGTCCTGACCCTTGGGTTTTCCTCAGGATTTGTTTTTCCTCCTGAGCTGTCTTGTGAAGGCCGCGGGGACCAGTGAGGGCCCCGAGAGAACGAAACTGGCGGAAAAAACGTAGGACCACTCTCCATCAGGATCCGTTCTCTTGCTGCGCGCGCCCGTGTGCAAGGCAGTGTCGCGGAAAGGCAAGCGCGGCAAGGCGCTGCCTGCGGACGCCGAGGAGGTGGCCAGCACCACCGACAGGTTGGCGGGGGTCCGTCAGCCTGTGACCATTTCTCACCTCGCCCTGCTCAAGACGCGTTTCGGCAGACTCGGGGTCATTTACGCTTTCCCCCGAGTCCGCATGGGACAGGGGGGCCCCAGACAGGGCTGCATTCATCAGATGCAAAGCTCTTTCGGTTGCTCTTATAGTTTGGCGCCTTTGGTTCACATAATCGCTGGTAGCGAACGTAATATCAGTGGCCAGGTCAAAGTCGATTACGTGGGCGGTTCGATTCGATGTATCCATCTGTCTATGATTTCACGAAAAACGTTTGACTGGCGTGGCGGTCATCGTGATATCGGCAGGGATTGCATTACTGTACCATTCAGTCCAGCCAGCTTGATGTTTTTACCACGCTGCTGGGCCTGAGTGCATATCTCTTGTCCCCGTCCTGCCATGGGAGTTCCCCCCCCCGTCCATTTCGACAATGAGGAGCAGCAGAAGGAGTGGAGGTGTGGAACTGGAAGGCTGAGAGGGAGGACTTGGAGTAGGCGAAGGACAAGAATGAGAAAGGGGGGAGAGAAAAGAGAAAGTGGTGGAGGAGGAGGAGGATCAGTAGGAGAAGGAGGAGGAGGAGGAGGAGGAGGAGGAAGAGTAACAGGGAGGTTCTCGTGCCTCGAAGGAGCAGGAGGAGACGGAACTCTGTGGCACCAGTTTGCATTTTGAGGAGGAGGAAGACGGAGAAGGGGTCGATGGCTTGAGCGTTTGGGCATTTTTGGTGCCCTCCTCCAGGGGCTGGGGACTCCTACGGACCTTCCAGAACACTAGCCGTTGCGATGACCGTTCATCGGGGAAATTCGACACATTGCGACACGCTCATAATGAGCCGACGATATCGTATCCGCCGCGCAGCGACCCCACCCGCGTTCTGCATAGTGGCAAGAAGCGCGGTGGCAACACACGGGCATCGTCCGCCGCCGAACAGAGCGGTACTCCAGCAGAGCAGCCGAGGTTAGTGGTGACGCTCAAGACTATGGATACGGTCGTCACTACGTTCGGCCAGGGAGAGCGGTGAAGTACAACACCTTGACGACGGGGTAGATGCACACAAGTGGTCGTATCTGGCATCACGCTGGGGCTTCCTGAGTGGAGGGCTCGCATCGTGAAGCAGATCATCCATTCCCAGGCAGACAATACCCACTCCCACTCTGAAGGTAGCAAAATGCACCGCAGTACACAGATTACCTCCATTCCGCCAGGTGTTGAATCAATTACCCTAAGTGACTACCAATCGGCCAGCACAGAGCCCAAGGCACGGTTGTAGGCATCATGTGCGACATAGCTTTAGGGAGAGAGAGAGGGGGACAGGGAGGGGGGCAGGGAGGGGGGAGGGACGGAGGGAGGCAATGCAGGGAGGTGACTTCAGCATGGCCACAGGAGGTACATTCAGCAGCGAGGGAAGACGCTCCCCACGGAATGACGTGGGAAACATTTAGTGAGCATCGGACAGCTGTTTCAATTGATACGGCATGTGCTTCACAGCAGGCCGGGGGGGCGCAGGCGAAGAGCAGCATGATGGAAGCTATCAGTGAGAAGTGAGCATGTGTACCCACATTGGCTCTACAGATGCCGTGAGCTTCAGGCCCGTGCCGCGGCCGGGAGACCACAGCACGTGAAGCGCGTGGAAAGGGTTCCTGTCTGCAGTATCCCTTGCCTCCTTCCGAATCTTCTGCAGGGAGAAGGAGAGAAGGAGAGAGAGAGAGAGAGATGAGAGAGAGAGAGATGAGAGAGAGAGAGATGAGAGAGAGAGAGAGAGAGAGATGGAGAGATATTATAAGAGAGAGGGAGAGGGGGGGGGGAAAGAGCGAGAGAGCCAGCGAGAGCTAGCCGCAGCGGCGGCGAGGGGCCCGGCGAGCCCGCCCGCCGGCGGCGACGCGCTGGACGCTGCGGCGCTCCCCCCGATCTTGGCGCAAGCGCCCGGCGGCGGCCCCGAAGGCCGCCGCGCGGGCGGCCGCCCCGGGGGGGGGGGCGGGGCCGCGGAGGCTCGCGAGAGGCCTCGGGCTCGGAGGCGCGGCGGCTCGGAGGCCCAGAGGCTCGCGGGCTCCGCGGCTCGGCGGCTCGGGGGATTCGGGGGCTCGGCGGCTCTGAGGCTCCGAGGGTGCGAGGCGCCGCAGGCGGCGCCGAATCTCGACGGCTCGGGGCTCGAGGCGAGAGAGGGGCCCCAGGCGGCGCGCCCGCCGCGGCGGCCGTCAGCGGCGGGGGAAGGGGGGCTCGAGGCTGGATAGAGGAGGGGGGGAGGGGAGGAGGAAGGAGGGAGGAGGCGAGGTCTTTAGATGATAATGAAGCGTGCCGTATTCTCTCTCTCTCTCTCTCTCTCTCTCTAAATACGTATATATATACATACATATACAGATATGTACAAGTTTTGTGTTGCGTATCTTTATTGTAGTGGCCTCCGGCCAGTGCCGCCGATCCGGGGCGCTCCTGATGCTATTGTTGTTGAAATGGACGGTGACGACGACAACGGACGACCAACGGTCGACGAGCGGGATAATTACGACGACGACAACGACGACGACGACGACCGACGAATGAGTTAATGACGACGAACCGACGACGACGACGACGACGACGACGACGACGACGACGACGACGACGACGACGACGACGACGACGACGACGACGACGACGACGACGACGACTGACGGCGAACGGCTGCCGACGGCCGACGACCGACGACTGGTGACGGCGACGGGTGGAAGGTTCTTCGTTCATCGCTGTCGCTTCCGAGCAATACCAAGTGAGGCCGTGCACCTCTGGCCTGGCAGCACGCGAGTGAGCGCCTCTTGGGGCCGCTTGGTTCTTGGGACTTCTTGGGGGCCTTTGGGGCCTCTTGGGGGCCTCTCGGGGTCCTCTTTGGGGCCTCTTGGGGACCTCTCGGGGTCCTCTTGGGGGCCTCTTGGGGACCTCTCGGGGGCCTCTGGGGGCCCCTTGTTGGGGGCTCTTGGGGTCATCTTGGGGTGGAGGACTAGAAGGGTCCGTTCGGATACACCCTCTTGAGGCCATCTTGGGGGCCTCTCGGGGTCGTCTTGGGGGCCTCCAGGGCTATATTGGGACCCTCTTGGACCGTCTGGGCTTGGGGCCTCTTGGGCTGTCTTGGGGCGATCTTGGGGGCCTCTTGGACCGTCTTCGGCGCTTCTAAGACGGAGAAGGCGATCACGTTAAAATGCTTCAAAACCTATTAGCAATTTGATTATTGTACCCTCTTGGAGCCCACCTGGGGGTCCACTTGGGATCTTCTTCAAGCGTCTTGGAGGCCTCTTGGGCCGTCTTCAGGCCATCTTGGGCGTCCAGGAGCGCTCTTGGGCCGTTTCGGGCGCCTCCTGGACCGTTTTGGTGGCCTCCTGGGCCCCTTTTGGCCCGTCTTGGGGCGGTTTGGGATTCCCGGGGGGGGGGGGGGGGAGGAAGGGTGGACCCCATGAACCCCCCACCCCCTCCCCTCCCTACCCCAGGAGCGCTCTTGGGCCATTTCGGGCGCCTCCTGGACCGTCTTGGTGGCCTCCTGGGCCTCTGTTGGCTCGTCTTGGGGCGGTTTGGGATTCCCGGGAGGGGGGGGAAGAAAGGGTGGACCCCATGAAGCCCCCTACCCCAGGAGCGCTCTTGGGCCGTTTCGGGCGCCTCCTGGACCGTGTTGGTGGCCTGTTGGGCCCCTTTCGGCCCGTCTTGCGGCGGTCTGGGATTCCCGGGGGGGGGAGAAAGGGTGGACCCCGTGACCCACCCCCATTCCCCCTCCTACCCCAGGAGCGCTCTTGGGCCGTTTCGGGCGCCTCCTGGACCGTGCTGGTGGCCTCCTAGGCCCCTTTTGGCTCGTCAGGGAGCGGTTTGGGATTCCCGGGGGGGGGGGGGGAAGAAAGGGTGGACCACATGCCCCCCCCCCCTCCCTACCCCAGGAGCGCTCTTGGGCCGTTTCGGGCGCCTCCTGGACCGTCTTGGTGGCCTCCTGGGACCCTTTTGGCCCGTCTTGGGGCGGTTTGGGATTCCCGGGGGGGGGAAGAAAGGGTGGACCCCATGAACCCCCCCCCCCCTCCCCCCCTACCCCAGGAGCGCTCTTGGGCCGTTTCGGGCGCCTCCTGGACCGTCTTGGTGGCCTCCTGGGCCCCTTTTGGCTCGCCTTGGGGCGGTTTGGGTATCCCTGGGGGGGGGGGAAGAAAGGCGTGGACCCGATGAAGCCCCGCCCCCACTCCCCCTCTCCCCAGGAGCGCGTCTGGGCCGTGTCGGGCGCCTCCTGGACCGTTGTTGTGGAGGGGACTCCTGGGCGCCTTTTGGCCAGTCTTGGGCGGTTTGGATTCCCAGGGGGGAGGGGAAGCCCCTTCCTACCCCAGGAGCGCTCTTGGGCCGTTTCGGGCGCCTCCTGGACCGTGTTGGTGGCCTCCTGGGCGTCTTTTGGCCCGTCTTGGGGCGGTTTGGGATTCCTGGAGTGTGGGGGGGAGAAAGGGATGGAACCATGAGCTTCCCCCCCCATTCCCCCTTCTACCCAGGAGCGCTCTTGGGCCGTGTTCGAGGCGACTCCTGGACCGGGTTGGGTGGCCGCCTGGCGGACGTTTGGCCCGTCTTGGGGCGGTTTGGGATGCCCGGGGGGGTGAGAAAGGTCGTGGACCCCAGGAACCCCCCGCCCCATTCCCCCCCCCCGACCCCAGAGCGCTCTGGGCCGTGTCGGGCGCCTCCTGGACGTTGTTGGTGGACCTCCGGGGCCCCTTTTGGCCGTTCTTGGGGGCGGTTTGGGATGACCGGAGGAGGCGGGGAGGGAAAGGAGTGGACACATGACCCACCCCCCTCCCCCCCCCCCCACCCGAGGAGCGCTCTTGGGCCGTGTAGGGCGCCTCCGGACCGGGGTGGTGGCCTCCTGGGCCCTTTACGATCCCCAGATGTTCCCTGGTTGGGATTCCGGGGAGGGGGGGGGGGGGGGGGAAGAAAGGGCCCGCCTATCCCCAGGAGCGCTCTATTGGGAAGTGTAGGGAGCTAGTTAAGATATGTTCGTTCC